CTTAAAACTATAAAAAACCTTTGTAGGTAGTTTTTTTTTATTTCTTAATATAAAAATAAAAATTTTTAATAATAAGGAATATTTGAATTATGTTCTCACAAATAATTTAAAGACCCATCTTTAACCTTGAATCTATTATAAATAAACAACCTTCAGTTTAAGACAGATGGATAAGCTAATTGGATCTACCAAGTAAATATATTTCCCAAGCTCTATAAAAATCTTGGATCCATTATAAGTTAAAACTCCTGTAATCCAGGCAGGTAAATAAGCTAGTAGGAACCTATCTGCAGGTATATGATCTTTCTTTATCAGTTATATATATCTACGATAGTACTTTCAAATGTGACAAATTTTTTTTATTTTTTTGAAAAATTTTACCTATCTCAATTTAACCTTGAATTTTTATTACACCAGAATCTTTAGTTGGTGATTGGCTGAAATTTTTGAACTGGTTAATCGACATATAAAAAAAAAGTAAACAAGATACATACTCTCACATGTTTCATATTATACTATACTATAACCGATAATGCAATTGAATAATGGCGAAAGAGCAAAGTGTCAAGGTGTCCTCTTGATAAGAAATGGCTTGGAGTCTTCCCTCTTCCTTCTTATATCAGTTTCTTTTTTCTTTAAAATCAAAGAAGGCTCTTATTAGGCTGGTAATTGGTTTAGATGGGTTTTTATTTATCAATATAAACTTTTCCTTCCTCTTTTATCTTCCCTTTATTTCTTAAAAAAATAAAAATTTTTTTACCTCTTAGAATAACAAAATTGTATTAGGATGACGGTCTGAATATATAGGCTAGCTTAGATCTCTTAGAGTAAAGATTTTAATATCTAGCTCTAATAAGGAGCAATTCTATTATTTCCTATAATCACATCTAGAGAGTTAGAATTTGGAAAGTCTAAGATAATTAGTATCATGCAATAATAGCTTAATGAATCTATTTTTTTGTAATGAAATAGTTAATAAATAGCTAGGTCATATGATAATACGATAGTCTTGATCATACATGTGGTCATATTACCATAAAAAGAAATTTGATCGACAATACGATTCCGAATTAAATACGAATTCCAATTAATTATTATATGTTACTTAATAATTTTACCATAATATGGTTTTTAAAAAATAGTTAAATTCAATTCCACCACATATATAGTCTTGATATTAAAGATTTAAGGATCATGTATAAATCTGAAACTTGTTAACAGGTGTTTTGCTATAATAAACCATTTAGCTTTAGTATAGTACTATATTGTATATTGTATTATTGTTATTCAAAATTAAATTAATAAACATATTAATAATAGTTTAATTAGAGGAAAAAAAAAATATACAGTATATATATTTTCTAATAAATACTTTAAAAACTGTTATCTTTGATTGATACAAATTATCAAATCTAGAAGCATAATTGTCAAATGAAGTATAATTCCATAATTTTTTAGTAGATATATAAAAAAAATTCAATTAATTTATATTATTAAATTTAGAGATATAAATATTAAGCAAGATACAATTCTTATATATTATAAGTAATATTGAACTAATTATTAATATTATAAATCATTAGTTGAAAAGTTCAAAATTAATCAATTAGAATTTAAAATTTTTAATTGCAACTAATTGATTATATTTAAAATAACTAATTAATTAGAAATTTTTTTGCCAACTAAAATTACTACTAATTACTTATATATATAATAGTATTTATATTAACAATCTCTTTTAAAATTTTTTACTTTATACTAATATATTATATAATAGAGTTTATCATATCAAAAAAAAATATAAATATTTATTAGAGTTAAATCTGAAGTTTTTTCTTATACAACCTTTTCTACTTTGACCTGTTTTTAACCTGCAATTGTTAAAAAAACCAAAAGTTTCATTTTTATATAACCTAATTAAATTTGATTAAAATTCAAATATTTGATTACAATATTTATAAAAAAAATTAGTAAAATCTACAAATAAAAAATAAATTTATATTCTGGTCTAACTCTAATAAAAGCCTACAAACCCCTCTGGCATGGCAGACTCCGTAGCACAAAGAACATCCTAGCCTGGGGCTATTCCAATCCAATGCTTGCTTAAAAAAAGATGATCTCTACAAGAAAAGTTGAAAACCACAGGTAATGACAAGGAATACAGTATCTTCTTCGAGGAACCAGGTGAAAAGTATTGAATGGATTATTCAGGTGTTCTAATCAACTTTAAAAGGTACATACTCTAAATGACTACCACCAGAATCTAGATTAGGTTAGATAGTTTAAAACTAGTGGTAGGATTTTTATCCCCTAAAGATCCTATCCGGTATACAGATCCACCCCGCTGATGGATAAATCGATATAACTGGGTAAGGCTATAGATAGGAGTGCAGGTTAACTTAAATGGATCTTATAGTTATGTAATTGGATATAAATCACTTAATAAAAGTTATATGCTATATGTACTCTTTACCTGAAAAAAAAAATAAAAAAAAAAAAAATAAATTTATATATTTTTATCTCCTATAAGTATTGAATTAGAGATATATATTTGAAAATCAGGAAATACTATTTACCTTACTATTGATTCACTAATTAAACACTAGTTAAAATTTGATTATTCAGTATGTCAAATTATTACCAAATTTTTAAATTTTATAATTAAATTTAAGCCAAATTTATGTCATTTGATGCCACTTGGCATAAAATCAAATACAAATATTTGTTAAATATTCATTAATAATTTGATTATAACATTATAGCATTTGGCAATATAAATACAAATATTTGATAGATAACTTAACCATAATTTAATATATTTTGTGTTTAAAAATTTGATAAATTTTCATATATATATTAGTAATTAATTTCATTATTTGAAAATAAAAATAATTAATAAAATTCAACAATTATTTATAATTATAATTAACAAAAAGTTTATTAAAATATAATAATAAAATAATATAATTTAAATATAACAAAAAAATTGCTTATATAAACTAAGTTATTCATTATCTTCTGTTTCTTCTTTCTCTTCTTTCACTTCTTTTTCTTTTTCTTTAATTGATCTTATTCTGAATAATTTTCTTTATATCTTTTTTTTTTCTTTTTTTTAGTTATTTTTTTCTTACTGATTTTTATACCTTTTACTGATTTCACCTTAGCAACTGCCTTCCTGACCTCATCCATTATTGCACTTTCTTCAGTTTGATACTTCTCTAAATATATTGATAATTCTTTGACAACCTTTTATTTTTTATATTTTTCTATCGATTCTTCAGCTTCTCCTTTCAAATAGTAAATCCAATTCAACAAATCTTTAGGTAATTTTATATCATAATTAGCAAGTTAGTTAACTATATAATAAATAAATATTTGATATATAAATATTTGACAAACAAATATTTGATTTTAATAATATTTAAATATCTTATGAGAATGCCAACTATAATTATATTTAAATATCTTATGAGAATGCCAACTATAATTATATATAATTACTTTTCTTTTATCACTTTTTGAATCAGTTTTACTTTTTTCAGGTGAATGGATCTTCATTTCTTTAAAGATATTAAGCAATTTATCTTGATATTTTGTAATTTCTTTAGACTTTTTACTAATTAATGATTTTATACTTTTAATTCTTTAGCCCCTTTTCTTTATTATTTATTAAAAATTAGTATATATAAAATAATATATATACAGTATATAAGCCTAATGTCCTTACCTCACTTAACTAACTGTTTGCATACAAATGCCTATTATCTGTCTTTAATTTTCTTGATTTTGATTTTAGGTACACAGTGAACCTGGATATAACGAAACCTGGATAAAACGAATTTTGACTATAACGAAGTTTTTTTGATATCCCAAAATCTTGTCTAATAAAATTTCCTGGATATAACAAACTTAATTAAGAAAACCTGGTTACTGATTATAATGAAGTCTTAAATCAATTAGCTAATAAAAATATAATGAAGTTTTCTTATAATGAACTTTATTATATTATAGTAAACTTCATTATATTATAATAAAGTTCATTATACTATAGTGAATTTTGTTATATTATAATAAAGTTTATTATATTATAGTAAACTTTATTATATTATAATAAACTTTGTTATAATTTAGCAATCTTTTCTATTAATGTAAATATATATATATGATAATATACTAATATAGTAATTCACTTTATATTTAAAAGTTTATCGTAAATCTTAATCTGTTTTTTATTATAATGTCTAGAGACAAAGAGACAAAACCTGCTAAAAACAAATGCCATGCACTTCGTGGTATTGAAAAAAAAGAAATCTGTCAAATAAAAAAAGACAACCCCACAATTAAAATGGCTGAATTAGCCAAACAGTTTGAATGTGCCATACCAACGGTCAGTGAAATTTTGTCAAATAGTGATTTCTGGCTCAATATTGATGAAGAGTCCACCATTGGTATATTTAAAAGAAGACGTCAAAGCAATTTTCCTAATATAGAGGAAGCATTGGGTCTTTGGGTAGAAAATGCAGTAAGCGACAAAGTAACCTTAATGGATTCGATTTTAAAAGAAAAGGCTAAAAAATTTGCTATTTTGTTTGATAATTATGAATTTGGTGCAACTAATGGGTGGTTAGAAGGATTCAAAAAGAGAAACAGTTTAAAATCTTATAAAAAAAAGGGGGAAGCTGGAAGCGTCGATTTGACCAAATTACCTGAGCAACGTACATATTTGAAATCGATTTTAGAAGGTTATAATAAGTGTGACATTTTTAACTGTGACGAAACAGCACTGTTTTGGAAAATGAACCACGAACAACACTTGCTCGCACATCAGTTTCAGGAAAAAAATTGTTGAAGGATCGTGTATCTATACTTGCAACTTGTAATGCAACTGGGGAAGAAAAATTACCTTTATTGTTTATAAATAACTCAAATACTCCTCGATCGTTACGCGGAATTGATAAAACTACTCTCGGTATATGGTATTATTATAATAAATCTGCCTGGATGCAACGCTCTATATTTGAAAGTTACCTTAGAAAAGTTAACAACATGTTTCGCTTACAAAACCGCAAAATTATTCTACTAGCCGATAACGTCTCTAGTCACAAAGTTGATGATCTTGAACTATCTAATATTAAACTTCATTTTTTACCTCCAAATACATTGACTCAACTTCAACCCCTCGACCAAGGAATTATTTATAGTCTCAAGGTTTGTAAAAAGTTATTTTAATAATATAATAAATATTAGGTTTATTATTTTACTTAATTTACTTATTATTATTTAGGCACATTATCGGCGACTATTATGTTCACATCTCATTCATCTTTATGACGAACGATCAAATTATTCAACAGTTATTCCAAAAGTTACTATCCTTGATGCGATTAACTTTGTGGTTAAAGCATGGGATTGCGTGAAAACACAAACGGTTACATCATCCTGGACTCGTGCAGATATTTTACCAGTTTCCCCATCCTCTATCCCTATAACATACGCTACAGAAGAAATTGAAGAAGTCAAAAGGGAAATAGCAGATCTCATTCAGCGTTTACCCATGGATGAACCAATGAACATAGAAGAGTATATAGATATTGACAAAAATGCTGAAATTTATTCGTTTACTGATGAAAATGGTTTATTTCAAGAGATTGTAGATACGGTTAATCATATTGAAACACTAGAAGAGGATGAACCTTCTGAAGAACAAATTGTAACAAGCTCTGAAGCATTGTTGGGGTGTGATAACATGCTTGCATACATTGCGCAAAAGAATTTGAATGTTGACTATTTTGTTATAAACACATTAAATAAGTTAAGAAAAGAAATCTCTCGAACCAGTATGGAATTGGCACGACAAACCACTCTCCAGGAATATTTGACATTCGATGTGTAGCTGGTAGGTTCTTTTATATTGCATACGGTAATTTTCTGTCTGAATGAGCGTCTTCAATAAAATAATTTACTATTCCTTAATGTGTTAAGCAGGCAAATTTGCAATAACCGGAAAGTGAGATAGGAGGGATCCTCCAAATGGTACCAATTCGGTTTTGCCAAGCATCGATTATCGAGCTTGTATAACATATAATCATCAATAAAAGATCGATCATTTTGATCAAAAATGGTATTCTTTCCGAGTGTTCTGAATGTGCATAAATCGAAGAAATTGTAGGACTCATAGGTACATCCATAGCATCAGAACGTGATAGTATAGGAGTTAAATAAGTTCTACCTTCATCATCTTCATATCCATCGTGACTAATACTTAGGGGCATGAGAATTTGTGACTAAGAGTCATCAGATGAATATAGCGTAGATCCTTCAGCCTCTATTCCTTCGTGAAACGAATTGGTAGGAGAAATATTTGCAAGCACGATTGGGTTTGATTTTTTTTTTTCAGAATCTTGATTTTTTTTTTAATGTTCGGGTTTCGGGGGTGTTTGGCTTTTTTTTTTTGCATTTGGGTCTTTTTTTATATTTTTTTTTGAATCTGACACATATCAGTAGATAACAATTCCATGCTAACTTCTGAATTTTGCGAGGGCGACAGTGGTATGTAAGTATCTTCGATTGTAATAATTGTTACACCGGAATTATTACTCATGTTTAATGAATTTTCGGATCCATTTATAGTATCAGAACGTAATAGTATAGGAGTTAAATAAGTTTTACCTTCATCATCTTCGTATCCATCGTGACTAATACTTAGGGGCGCGAGAATTTGTGACTGAGAGTTACCAGATGAATATAGCGTAAATCCTTTAGCCTCTATTCCTTCGTGAAACGAATTGGTAGGAAAAATATTGACAAGCACGATTGGGTTTGATTTTTTTTTTTCGAAATCTTGGTTTTTTTTTTAATGTTCGGGTTTCAGGAGTGTTTGGCTTTTTTTTTTTGCATTTGGGTCTTTTTTTATATATTTTTTTGAATCCGACACATCACCAGTAGGTAACAATTCCATGCTAACTTCTGAATTTTGCAAGGGCAACGGTAACATGTAAGTATCTTCAGCTGTAATAATTGTCATACCGGAATCATTACTCATGTTCAATGAATTTTTCGGACCCATTTATAGCATCAGAACGTGATAGTATAGGAGTTAAATAAGTTCTACCTTCATCATCTTCGTATCCATCGTGACTAATACTTAGGGGCGCGAGAATTTGTGACTGAGAGTCACCAGATGAATATAGCGTAAATCCTTCAGCCTCTATTCCTTCGTGAAACGAATTGGTAGGAGAAATTTGCAAGCACGATTGGATTTGATTTTTTTTTTTTCGGAATCTTTGTTTTAGTTATGTCGAACGAGGCAATCCAAAGTTTATTATTGAGATTAATGGCTGTGTTAATGGTTGACGTTACTATTGTTATTGGTTTCATAGTGCTTTGTTCTGCTAAACCTGCAAAATTGGCTTTTAATAAGATATTATTTTTTGCCAAGGTTGTCGATAACCTGGTGTTAATAATTTTCGTAAATATTTTCCTGATTGTCTCAATTAGTGAAATTGGACGAGTATTTGCAATTTTTCGTAACCAGATTATTTTTTTTGGCAGAAGAACTATTGTTGAACTTTTCCATTTAGGTGGAATTAACTCACTGTCGAGGACATTGTTATATAATTGCAATCTTACTTTTACTAATTAATCAATTTATTTAGAGGATCAAATTAAAAATTTGCAAATAGAAGTTAAAGAGCTAAAAAAAAACAAATATCAAATTAGAAAACAAGATCAATATTCTAAAAGATTAAATAAAATCTTTAAAATATATAAATGAAGAGTTTGCTGCCCAAGAGAAAAAATTTAAGAAAAAAATAGTATATTTAGAAAATTAGCCCTCAAATCAGAATCTGATTGTTGTAATATTTCTGAGATCTGGATTATTTGTAAAATTCATATTACTTGAAACAACTATAGTATCAATAGAAGTTCCAAATGAAAATTCCAGTAATAATAGTACCGAAGATTTTAATGCTGAAAATTTTGAAAATACCAATGCTGAAGATTATGAAAATGTCAAAGATTATAAAAGTATTGAATATTGATTAAGTCCACAAAAACAAAGGTTTTGACTAGTTAGAGACACAAAGGATAAAAGCAAAGCAGTTTATAAGTCAAATCCAAAAAAAACAAGATAAGAAATAAAATATATTGTGAAGACACTTCCTAAATATTATAAACTAAGGGTGGATAAAGTTTTTTGAGTTTTAAAAATAAAAAAATATTAGTCAAACTAATATCTGAATTATTGTAATTAATGATTTAAACTTTAATTTCTTATAAAAACAACTACATAACTGGTTGGATACCTTATATTGTCATCAAAAAGGAAGGTACACAGTGAACCTGGATATAATGAAGTGGTCCGTTCCAACCTTTTTTTTCATTATATCCAGGTTTTTATTATATCCAGGTTTCCTCTTTATAAGAAAGTCCTATTCAATTTCATTACAGTTTCGTTT